AAGCCATATGTTGACACTGTATAGAAGTTAGTTAGTAGTGCCACAATAGAGTAACTTTAACGAAGATAATTATCTATTTTTTGACAGCCAATGTGTGTAAATATTAGTGTATGTATGTAAATACATGTTAATATGTACACGGATATATACATGTTTACATAAAAAACATGTATAAATGTTATTTTGAACATGCATGTGACTAAAAATCATGCTAAGCAGCACTGCCATAACAGATTTTCATTAACATTGAAAACTCAATTAATTCAGACTTCCTTGCAGAATCGCACTCTCTTACCATGTGCGGTGTTAAGTCGTTAAAGCAACAGTAGAGGCCGTCCATAGGCTGCAGGCCTGAATAAGCATCGAACAGAAATTAATTAAAAATACACTGTTACTGCACGTACCAAAAACATACACTTTAGTTCATGTTAAATAACTACAGATTCGATGCTCTATGCTCGCGCTCGAAACTTTTTGCCAGCCCTATGATGCGAATTTCTGCCAAAGGTTGTCTGAACACATTTATTACACAAAAAACACCAACCCGGTGCACTGGTGGCTACGCCACCTGACGGAATGTCACGAATACACAACAAAAATAAATTTTACTTCTAATGCTTTCTCGACGTCCACGAGGATCACTTGGGTGCAGTAATCTTGTGCTAAACTTATTGCACTTAGGTGCCGAATTTCGCGAACATAAAAATGCCAAAAGGCCTTTTCTAGACGACGAAGGTAGTGCAAACGGTTGAACAAATCCGGACGCTTACTGTTATTTTTTTTTTACTCCTCCTTTACCAGCGACTTGAGCATCACGTGAGCAGAGCGCATTGCAGCACATGTTTAAATGAATATCCGCGACAACCAAAACTCTTGAGGGAAACCATATTGCTACTCTCTTGGTTGTCTTCCGGACAACCCAAAAAAAACCTTAAAATTGAGCACTGCTTATTTTACGTGCGTCCAAAGCTAATTTTAAAAGGGGCCCTGTATTCATGGTATTACTTCCCCATTCTGCAGGTTGTGGTTGTTATTATTGGTAAACCTTTTTCTTTGTTTTTACTGTTTTTCTGCGAATATAGCCCAAAATTGTTGAATTTTTGCCCTACGGCTGAGTACCACTCCAGCGGTCCACCCTCCGTCCGCCATGATTGTGACCAGTTTCGCCAAATCAGGTGAACCATGGGTGAAATCGTTTTTCGTGGCGTGAAAATTCAGCATCCGCACGTAATCAAAATAAGTGTGGGCGCAAGGGGAAAAATTCACACTGGCCAACACTTATACGGCCATGGCTATTCTTAAGACGACCATTGTAGACAATTATTTATGGACATATTCTTACGACATGCAACGCATAATGCATAATAGTCAATAGTTAATATAATGCTAGTCTAGGGAGGTCGCTTGCCTAACTCCTAACCCTAACCACTTAACCACAAGCCTATCCCCTAACACTAACTATAACAACCGACTCGACTCTTCTTATTATACGCGTGTCATAGTACAAAAATTATATCTATGGTTGGCATGAATCAAAATAAGTGTGGCCAAGGAAAAATTTAGCCTATCCGCACGTAATCAAAATAAGTGTGGCGAAGGAAAAATTCAGCATTATCCGCACGTAATCAAAATAATGGGCCAAGAGAAAAATTCAGGCATTATCCGCACGCAATCAAAATAGGGGGCCAAGGGAAAAGTTCAGCACTGGCACACACTTATAAGTGCGAATAGTCCTTAAAATTATATGGATGAAGAGAGGAAAATGCAGGGGAATAGCGGAAGCTTGATGTGCAGGAAATTTTACGTCGGATTGGAATAGACGAGTAAAATTCCTGGGGGAAGTATGACGAAGAACAGTTATTATAAATAGAGACTGGAAAACAGCGATTCATGGAACAATACGGTGGTGAAAATCATTATAAAAGGCGCCACACTAGAGCTTTATAAAAGGAGGAAACTTTTCCTAAACAAGAAACCGTTTACAATAATATGAGAGGTAGAGCGGGATGCCTCCCATTAATAAAAGAACCAGGAGATGGTTAGGGGAAGAAAATTGCACTGTGTGCAATAAGGGAGAACCAGAAGACCTAAAGCATTTTCTGTTAGTTTGCCCCTCATACAAACACCTAAGGAAGATCATGTGGGATGTACAGGCTCCAAGAAGTGGGGGTCACCCTTGCACAGCTGGAGGAAAGGCAGGTGATGCTCACCATCTGGGGCTAAATGAACATAGATGTTATGGGGATTGGGTAGAGCAGGTTATAAACATTACTTAGAATCAGCCTGGAAGCTCCAGGACAAAATCTCCGGTAAAGTGAAATTACCGGTGGGAAACTATCAAAAATAAAAGGGAAACACCGATCTAAAGGTTCCCGTTCATACATACATACACATACATACAGTACTAGGGTACTACTCCAGTACTAATTCCAGTCTATGGGATATGGCCATTGACATTGCCAATGCCAGATTATTACTAATTTAGTAATTAGAAATGCATCTGATCTTGTAAATAATTTGATAAATGATGCATTAAAGCTGCAATATGCGCATCAAACGCTAATTTCTCCAGTACTAGACTAGCAAATACTTCGTGTCATGCATAATCACACTACCTTATGACAAAATAAACTCTAGTTCCTCCATTTCACTGCGCGTTTGCTTAAAACCCACAAGAAAGAGGTGCGAAATCTGGCAATCTGGCGCCAACTCCGAATTGTTTGCCAAACAATTTAGCCCCGAATCGGTTAGGTGACGTCACATGTTGCTACGGGTTGCACCCGCTGTACGTTTGCTTGGCAGAGCAACGCGAACGTGTCAACAACATCGGAGAATTTTAACAACATTGGAGGTATTTTCAAATACCTTTTATAAGACAACGCGCAGTGAAATGGGAGGAACTAGAGTATATTTTGTCATAAGGTAGTATGATTATGCATGACACAAAGTATTTGCTAGTCTAGTGCTGGAGAAATTAGCGTTTGGATGCGCATATTGCGGCTTTAATGGTAAGTAATCGATGGTATGAGACGAGCCGTCCAGTAAGTGCCGCAGTGGACTGCCGCGATCTCAGTTGAAGAACTTCAAATTTGGTGAAAAAAAATGTAATAACAGTATGTGCACAATATAGCCTATAAACGGTACTGAAAGCAGACTACCACAATCTCGGCAGCAGAACTTTGAGTTTCATGGAAAAATGGAATGAATTTAAATTCATTTAATGGTTTAAACAATAAAAAAAACATGGACACACATCTGCATATATTACAATATCTAATAAGTATCTAATCAATATCTAAAGGGTTTGTGATGCTAATATAGTAATAACGGTGTTTGCAGAACGTTTGTGTGTGTAAATCAAATAATTATGTAGACGTACTTTGACAGAACTCCGGTCATTATCGCTAGTGTGTGGCTGGGCCAATTGCTCTGATTTCGTTGCTGAACTGTGCAGTCAGTAGTTGTTGTTAAAGCGTGGCTTGGCCTTTATGTAGAAAATGCATCCATCGATTTTAAGGTAAAAAATTCACTTCTGTTTTTCTATGATAGGTGTACGTGGATGACCTCGAAAATGGCATTGAACTTTAAGCCCGTTCAATTTGTGCGTGCCAAGTCGGTACTTGAGACAGCAGCAACAACTACCTTCTGTTCTACTTCGTCATCACAAGCCGATGCCCACGAAGAAAAAGGAAAGGCGATCAGAAGATTTTACGAAGACCTTGTAGATGGCAGCACCACACCGAAAAACATGTTGAGTGGAATATCCTCAGCAGAGCTCTCCCGTAAAGAGTCGTCCAGCGTACGCACATCTGTCGCTGGTTCCCTTGGGGTCGACGCGCGCAAGCCAAAGCGAAACCGTCGTTCCTCGAACCGCGACGCGAAGCGGGAGCGCGCCGTAGCGCCGACGAGCGAATCGAACCGCCGGCGGCGCGTCTGCGAGTTTCTCCGGAGCGCGCAGGACGGCGACCTGAGGTCGCTGGAACGCATGCTGCGCACGTCGCGGGATGGCGTCGTGGATGTTAACGCGGCCGACGAGTTCGGCTGGACGGCACTGATGTGCGCGGCGCACGCCGGCCGCACGGACGTCGTCGCCCTCCTCGCGCGGAACGGCGCTGACGCCGCGAGAACGGACGCGCGCGGCATGACGGCGGCCGACATCGCGAGAGAGGCGCGGCGCTACGCCGTCGTCGATGCGCTGTGTCCGGCGGACGCGTCAGACGCGCGACTCGCCCCGTCAGTGTCGGGCGGCAGCGGCGAGGGAGCTTCGCGGGCGTTCTGCGATGTGTGCGGAGTTCACGTGGATCGCTCCGATGAACGGCATTCGAGTTCGACGGTGCACCTCTTCAACCTGCAGCTGAAGCCGAAATCTACGCTGTATCACATCCCGGAGAGTAACCTTGGCTTCCAGCTGATGCTGAGGACGGGCTGGGATAAGGACGCAGGCCTAGGCCCTGTAGGGTCCGGGCAGAAGTTTCCCGTGAAAACCGTGCTGAAGCGAGATCGCCAGGGACTAGGTTCCAAGAAAAAAACGAAAGCTAAAGTCACTCATTTTGGTCCTAATGATGTAGCCGCTGTTCAGAGAGTGAGGTGCGCGTCACACGTTCGTATTGCAAAGGTAGCGACATTATCGAAAAAGGCAAGAAAGAAACAGGAAGTTAGGCAAAAATCGTGGGAAGAGAATTTTCGTCGATACTACGATTCGTAAAATTTGCGATTGTGATTGTCTTTTTAAAGATTTATGCTATATCAAAAGTACCTATACCTATACCTATACAATTCATGTCTTATTTATATGAGTTTGATGTGGTTTGTTCTTGTTGATAAAGATTGGTAAATACATAATAAATAATAATTACGTTTTTTATGATAGTTAGTTCTGGATTATTAAACTAGTTTTAGTATGTTTTATATATTAGGTGCTATAAAAGAGCACTTTCTTCATAGAATCGATGTCTGCACTAATTTTTCTCTATACGTGATCCGCATCCTCATTAATAACAACACTAATCTAAGCCGATGTGCCTACACCGTGACATTTTTGCATGTACGAGACAAATTGGGTAAGATATAAGCTTTATACTGGCAGAAAAATGTCAACAAGTGATTGAGTGATGTTTTACATGGTATATAGCTTACATGGTACTTGCGAAAGGTCACATCATGCATATAGAATAGAAGATTCTTCTATATCTCACTCGGTGAATATTCGATTTTTAATATCTCAAAACTTGTGCTATATGATCCTTTCTCAAGGAAAACAATGTGATGTTTGCATTGTGCATTCTTGAGCTGTGGAATAAAGGGCAAAATTGCAAGTCCGTATACGATACGTTTTTGGAGTGGGGTTGGGGGTTAGATGTGTGTACAGTGAGGAAGCTAGAAAGAAGTGGGAGGTGGAGGAAACTGGGAGAAAGAAAGAGCAGGAAGCGCGTATATTAATTGGAGAAGTGGGATGGACAGTAGGCGGGGTGGAGTAAGGGGAGTGGCAAACAACTAAAGTGGAGCACGAGGTAGATGAGGAGGAATAGGCAATATATGCACGAGAGTAAACGGATAAAACACGGACTAATCACGTAAATGGTGCAAAACGCGCGGAGAGCCACGGACTATACTGGGCTAATTACAGTCCGTGGCAAAATACACGGACTCCCACGTATACCAACCACGCATGAACTGCCAATTAACAATTATCTGATCTCGGAGAGTCCGTAATTATTATGTTCATAGTACCAGTAGCGTCATAATACACACACGCACACACGCACGCACGCACGCACGCACACACACACACATATATATATATATATATATATATATATATATCAGGAGTGAATAATAATAGACTACGGACACGCATAATATACTCACGCACATAATAATAATTAAGTTAGTAATTTAGTTCGTAATAATATACTCACACGCATCAGAACATGCACATGTGCACGTACGCATACACACATGCACCCACGCACACGAACCCACAGCCGCTCATGTATACACATGGCATAAGGACATGCGCACGCACGCATACGTACGCACGCACGCGTGCGCGTCGGGGACCACGCGGTAAAAAAAACTCATGCTTAATATTAGCAAGAGCCCATTAACCCCTGTTAATGGGGTAAATGGGCTCTTTATATTAGATGTATTGCTACTCAGTATTAAGCATGTTAACGCATTACTGTATGTGACTGAATGTTTTGATTATATTAGCGTAGATGACGTCAATGATTTATTGTTTGTATCTGCGTGGCTTCACGGCGCGATGAGAGCAGCTAGGGACTATTCCACCAGGAACGGTCTCTTGCGCTTTAATCCTCGTCAACTATCACAACGACTTCAACCACGCGAAATCGAACTCTCCTAGCCTAATTATATACGGCTACATATTCAGCTCAAATAACCTACGTCCTTTTACACATTACCTAGACGTGTAACGCGGTGAGTCTAATTGGCATTTCTCCTCTTCGTGTTGTCGCAGATATAGATCTATTATGCGCATGCGCGCGCAGGTAAGTATAGCTAGCAGTGCAGCTAGTATGCAGGGTACACACAACTATGTGTGGGACTATGAAGAGTTGTCGAGGCATCACCAGTATAAACTAGCTGCACAGAGTCGCCGGCAGTAATTGAGTCACGAGGGCAGCGAGTTATAGCACACATCTACATTACACCGGGAGTGAACGATTTTATCCCGACCGCGGAATACGGTAAGTAAATGATAACGGTATAATATTATAGAGAAGTAATTTATACAGCAAGTAGGTCCTACCATGATGTGAATTTAAAAAAATAGATGTTATCAGGTGCTAAATAATATAGACTATAGAATAAAATAGTGTGTAATGTAAGGGATTAATAATGACAAATTTCTAATTTGTCATTATTAATCCCTGGTAATATGCAACTCCTGATATGATGATTGCAGGATGATATGTGATATAAGGCACGGAGTAAGATTGAGGGTTGTGCAGTAAGCTGGAGAATGGGATCAAGTATTAGCTTACTAGATTCTGCAGAATAGTTGGATTTCGAACATCAATAAACCAAATTGGAACAACGAAAAACGTCATTGTATTTGACACTAGAAGGAATTTACGGTAAATGTTTTCACTATGATGATGATTATATAGGTCGCTAGGATGATTTAGTCAAGGAGCTGCTGTGGTGATGCTCTCACTGATACTGGATATATTGCTTGTAGTTTGTCACCAGTCCGAGTCGTTCTAGACGGTCGACAAGCCACATAATTCTACTGACTAAGTTATTAAGTGAGAGTGATGTGCAGAATGTGATTTAACACATTAAGTAAAGTAATTCTACTGCTTCCATCAAAAGCTGCACGTCTATTATTGGTATATGCGCATATAATATATGCATGTCAAACACACGCGCACATGCACACGCACACGCGAACGCTCGCACGCGCATTTATATCAATTGCAAATAAAACGGCAGCTGCTGCATGAAATTTATCGATTCAATTCCTGTAAAGTTATATCATGATCAATAACACCACATCAACGGCCGCAACCGCTCTGCTCACACTGAACTATATATATACGTTATACAGTGAAAACTAAATAATTGTTAGCGTATACGCATAATACGCGCGCAATGCACCAGACAGGCGTAATTAGTAATTAGTAATTAGTAATTAGTAATTAGTAATTAGTAATTAGTAATTAGTAATTAGCGGGCAGCACACTTCACCATTTTCGTTGCTCGTACAGGCAATTTTCGTGGTCGCCACAAAAATGGCCAAGTGTGCGGGGGCCGGCAACGACCACTCACCACGGAAATTTAGTGGTGACCACGAGTTGCCGAGAATCAAACCGGTTTGATTTCTCACCACGAAAATTGCTCGTGGTGGCAACTTGTGGTGAAGTGTGCTGCGACGCGGCAACGGCCACAAAAATTGCCGACCACGAAAATTGCCTGTACGAGCAACGAAAATGGTGAAGTGTGCTCCTAGCTTATTAGTCATAAAATGATTGCATATGATGACTGCAAGTGTAGCTATAAAACTATCACGCCCGATCTGCATAGTGTGTAGAGCTGGTAATATACCAATAGATTAAACCGGACCAGTCAACGTCAATATTCATTTTTTCCATGTACGGCCGTTTCTTGGAGTTATGCTTATAGGTAAGATTTTGAGTTAATGGGATAGGAGTAAGATTAGGTCTTAGGTCATGATGCGATTAATTATAATTATGATCGCTGTTTAGATATTAGGGATATGAGTATCGATATATCAAGCATCGTTCATGGATTGTGGGCTTCGATTAATTATCCTTCTTCCCTGGCAACCACTAATAGCTAGTCTACACCCAGTACTAGAGCGATCAGTGGTAGAGGCCATAATAAACTTTTATTATTTTAAAGTGCGGACTTTGAACACGCGCGAGCTGTGGTTTTCTGACACATCGTTCTTCGTATTATATGAATAAAGATGATGTCGTCATATTCAGTCAAGGAAATGTCGTCATAGACCAGAACCGACGTCGAATATTTACTTATTTTAGTTGATTAACGTTGGTAAGGGTTAGGTATAATTGCGACCTAGGTGTGGTGGGGTAGGGTGGAAGGTTAAATTGCATTATTTAGTATAAATATAGAGATAATTAAATATAATATAATAAGTCAATTGTATAGTTTCAATGAATCTGATCGGCTATGCGTCTAAAAATATGCCCAGGACCTCTAGTAACCGCTACTTATTTCAAAACATTACAATAAAATATTTCTGAACCGTGTAAACAGAGCGACGTAGGAAGGCTATGTAAATCTAATCTAGAATACGTGACACTATAATGCAACCGACTGCTGCCGTGATTGTTCCATGCGAGCAAACATTGAGCCAGGAAACAACAGCTCATGACAAACAAAATGCCGTGCGTGTTTGACAATGTTCATAACAATGACGCTAAGTGACATGCGCAAACACGCATCGATTTCATTCCTCGTGCACCCGACAAAAATGTTATCCTTGTTTTATTTATTCAGATAGACCATAGATATATACAACACATGTGTTGTATATATCTATGGATAGACTGCAGACTTTTTTGGTAAAGTTGCGTGTGCGTTCCATCTAGTTACGTGACAACTGGTTCACATGTCAAACACTATATATATATATATATATATATATTTATACATATGTTTGCCTAATTTCGTTGACGTTTGGTTTAAAATTGTTAAATCGATAAACGCGCATCATTTTTGTGCGCGTTTACGTTGTAAAAAGAAGGGGGAGATAACGAGGCGTTAGAGAAAGAAGAAGATGGAAATAAGAGGTAGAGGAAATCTTCAGGAAGTAGACGAGGAGCAGGAGGTTAATGAAGTAGAGCGCCGGTGGAGGCGGTGTTATTTTCACAGCGGTGTCTCATTAATGCAAACGGTCGACTAACTGTTGTATAAAACTATTGTTCGTAACAATAGACCCATCTGCATGGGCAGGTATAATTCTAGCCCATCGGCATTGCGATAAAGGCGTTCTAAACACACTGATAAGTAAAGATCGAAGAGCCGCAAAGTCGAGAATTTGTCGTGCACGCGTAAAAAAAGCGTATAATATGGGTTATCCTGCTCAGACGTATAGGTCGATTGTACTTCAGTTAAAAAATGCTATATATTCATGACAAATTAAATGTTTTGCCTCTGTGCGATAAAGTCGATTGGGTGCACTGCACGAAAACAAAAACTACACGGCAGACCTGCCCCATTAACTTTTAATAAATTATTAACAATTTTTTTATACAAAACAATTGTTTAGAATAATGGACATTGATAGTAACACAACATAAAAACATTCGTCTTTAATAGACAATCGTCCGAGTGCAGTGAAAAATACAAATTAATTGCCTACAACAATTGACTTTGATGTCAAACATCTTCGTTATTCACGACAATTGTTCTGTTTCACACGATGAGAAATTATTCGTGTGCGGTGTAAGCAAACGAAGATGATAACATCCTTGCCTCAGTGATCAGTCAGTATGCGCCTAGCGTTTCTTCTCCCTCTCTCTCTCCTCTTCTCTATCTCTCTCTTGCGCGCTCTCTCTCTCTCTCTCTCTCTCTCTCTCTCTCTCACACACACACACTCACTCTCTCGCGCTCTCTCTCTCTCTCGCTCTCGCTCTCTCGCGCGCGCTCTCTCTCTCTCGCTCTCTCTCTTGCCCGTTCTTTTCTCTCACTTTGCCTTCCTCTCCTTTTCTCCTCCTCTATTTCACGTTATAACTCTCTCTCTCTCTCTCTCTCTCTCTCAGAGTCTCTTTCAGTCTCTATCTCTCCCCCCCCCCTATTTCTCTCTCCCTTCTCTCGCTTTACGTGCTCAATCACGTTACAAAAACTTCCTGTATTAAATTTTGTTTCTATGCGAGCGAATTATTTGAAGGACATGCAAGCATTCGCAACCCTATACTGCCTAGCTGTCGGAATTGACATTTTAGGTGCTGTGGGTTTGTATACATTTGTTCCAGCTGGCTACATCGAACCCATTACTATGGTACGTGCAAAATCTACAGATCACATGAAATAATTAATTCCCCCATGTTCGGGAAAATACTCACGCTGCTAATCGTAATTCTAACCAGAAAAAAATTAAAAAGGCAATTATTTACCCTTATTCGATTAAAAGTCGGTCTAGTGATTGGTAGTAATGTGAAACGCCATCGCAAAGAAAACGCAATGACGGTTCAGGGAGCAGAGCGTTCCCGTTGGTCCGAATGTGAACTCTCTCTCTCTCTCTCTCTCTCTCTATTTCTCTCTCTCCGGTCCATCTCACACTCACACACGCGCGCGCACACACACACGCGCTCTCTCTCTCTCTCTCTCTCTCTCTCTCTCTCTCTCTCTCTCTCTCTCTCTCTCTCTCTCTCTCTCGCTCTCCCTGTCCCTCTCTATCTGTCTTTGTCCCTCTCACTTTCGTTCGCACTCACGCGCGCGCTCTCGCTCTCTCTCGCTTCCCTCTTTTGCTGCTGTGTCCGCCGACCGTAGATATTTCTTACCATGCAGTTGGCTGGCTACTCGCTAGTTTCTGCACCCGCTCCTAATTTACCCCTCACCTGAGGCTGCCATCGCCCGCAGGCTCCATTGTTATAAAGGCTACGGTCCAAGCAGACCCTGTCGTTGGGAGTGCGGTAGGCAGTTGAAGTTCTGGCCTGAATTAAGTGTCGGGAGCACATATAACATACAAATCCCTGTTCCATTAAATATCAGTGATTAATTTACACCTTGATATACCACGTCTGCGTACACGCCCCATATTTCCCCCCATTATTTTTGCAGTCGGGTATACCGGAATCAGAGTCAGTCATGGAGAATATGACGGAGACGTCGGACATATTCGGTGGTGACGAGGCAGGCAAGGAGGCGGCCGATCGCGTCGACTTCATCGTCAACTCTGTCATGCTTCCCATCGTCCTCGTCGTCGGCATCAGTGGCGACGTGCTGAACATCATCGTCCTGTGGAAGAGTGACAAGCTGCGCGGGACGTCGTACACGTATCTACGCTGGATGTCGATCACCGACCTGGCCGTTCTCATCGTGAAGTCGGTCCAGGTGACGTTCACGCGTTTTCCCGTCGAGTCGAGGCCGCTGTCGACTGTACGCTTCTACGCTCACGGTTATCTACTACTCATCAACTCGTTTGTTTGCATGAGTAGTTTGCTGGTCGCTGTCGTAAGCATTGAGAGATACTTATCAATATGTCATCCGCTGAGATTTCAGTTTCTGCACACGAAAAAAACGGCTCGCATCGCCATCGGCGCCATCGTCATAGTTTCCGTCATCATCCACATTCCGCACACGTTCGACAGATACGTGGCTAAACACGTTAGCCAGACAACGAACGCCACGTACTACACACGGGAGTGGAACCAGTCCGTGCGCAACATCGTTATTTACGCGTACGTGTGGCCAGTCGTCCAACAATTCTTTTACTCATTCCTCCCGATCGTCTGTCTGCTCTGTCTGAACCCGCCCATCATTCTCGCGCACCGACGCAGCCTCGCTCAGCGGCGCAGAATGCAGGCGAAGCAGACGAACGACGCGGCGCGCCACGCGAGAGAGCAGCGTCGCATGCTCGTCATGTTGCTCTGCGTCTCCGTCGTGTTTCTCGTCTGCATGACGCCGCAGGCGATCCTCGCCATCCTCATCAGTTCCGTGTCCGTCAGCGCCATCAACACCCTGGCGTTCTTCATGTTCCGACAGATCGCAAACTTGCTCGAGAAGATCAATTTTGCGGCGAATTTCTACGCGTACAGCTTGGCCAGCGGCGCATTTCGTACAAGCTTCAGGGAAGTGTTGCCGTGCTGTTTTCGCTGGAGAGTGCAGCCGGAGAGTTTGAGTGATCGTACACCGACTGGCGGATAGCGTCTTACCTCCCAAGCATTTCGGCATCTTTCCAACCATTCAGCAGTTCCACCGACTTGACGCAGCATCACAGTCGTTTGAGGGCCCATTTGGAAATATTTCTTTTCCAAAAAATAATTTTATTATTTCTGCACACTTGGCAAGGGTAGTCGCTGGCAGATAAAGAAATCGACAGAAAGAGCGGATGATGATTCAGCCGCGGAATGAAAGGCGTACACACCTATACGCTATATTTTACATGGCATATAAGTGCACATAAAGGCTTCACGCTTGCTTTTTTACGATTAAAATTCCTAAAGAACATTTGCCAAGGCGAAAGTTTTGCCGAATACAACTTTAGCAAGAAAGTCAAGTCACATATGATTGTAGGTTGGTCTGCTGCTATCTAATTGTCTACGTATATTAATTTTTGACGTATATAAATAGTTTTGAGCCTGACCAGACGTAAATATAGATCATTAGGCATTAATGGTGCACACAAAAGGGCAGAGGTCGCGAAGTTATAGTTTGTTTATCGTCAAACCCCAATTGTTTCGACCAAATGTTGTACTATTAATGAAAGATAATAATAATAATAATAATAATAATAATAATAATAATAATAACAACAATACTATTAATATAGATAATAACAATAATATTAATATAAATAATATAATAATAATTAATAATAATAATAATAATAACAACAAAATAATCATTATGAATAATGTACGCATGCAATAATCCGTTAATCGTGATTGATTTTAAACTAATTTATCTATTGTGTCAAGTTGTATAACCATTTTAATTGTGACGTGTGTGAACACAATTGTATGACCGCACCCCGTTTCACAGAATTGCACGACGCAGGGAAGCAAACAGTGCAGTGTTTATAGTTATACTTAGCTTCGTTTCTACTGTCTTATTTATGCATAGCCGACTAAGTGCCCAGCGCGGAAGTTTCTCCTATGCTGAATCTATAGTCTGCTACTTAATTATTACAACTGGTATGCGATGTTATATTTATTCTTTGGACGTTATCTAACGCTATGAAAGGCAAGGTAACTTCACACACAATGCAACAACACGACTCGATGCATCACGACGCAACACACACGCAACAAATGACGATGCAATGTAAGAATGCAACAAAACGCACACGGCATGAAGTAACGGTATGAAATGCCAAAAATTATATATATATATAGTGTGATGGCGTGTTTGGCGCACCTTTTAATTGTCACCTTTCCCGCTGTAACATGATAAACATCCTTCTCATGACAAATTTTCAAATAAGGAGCAATAAATGTCAAATACCCATGCCCACATGCAATATGCCATGAGCCCTGCTAGACTTTGCCATAGTGGGGAGTATACCATTATGCATCTGTATGTACATTTACCGACCCTTGCGAATACGCAGACAGAATGACGTGTACACGCGCACAGAACGGGTTCAGCTCAACTTAGCTCGTCACCAGCGCGAACACGGACGGCTACTGTTGACGACAGTCGGCGACTGTGCCGAGAAATCTTAGCGACGCGAGGCTAGCGTCGGCGGTCGTCTATCATTGACGACGCACGTCACCAACACGCCGCATGTATGTGACTGCAGCGTACCTGGGGGGGGGGAGGTTAAACAGAGTTCAGTGAGATGAATGAATGAATGAATGCATAAATGAATCAATGTGGTATTTAACTATCATCTATTATTTATGCAGTATATAACTATCCGTCTTGTCGTCAGTTTACCAACCTCGCTTCAATAGATGGCGTGCGGTTGAGTTTATACACTGGAGAGGGTCAGTCATCACCGTACAATGCTGTGTTTCTTGTTTGAATTGGTATGCTTGAAAAGGGGAATGTATATCGTTACAAATAATATTACCCGAAGTGGGCATGCTATGAAAACACAGCTTTTGCTGCAATCCCACAGGTAAAGACGCGAACTATAATTATATGAAATTAAAAAAACACCAACGTGGGTAAAATAAAAACATGCTACAGTATAGGCTTACTTCAACGAATGTTTTTTGAACCTATATTAATACAACAAAATTAATATGTTGATAAAATGATCCACCCTCCATCAGTGGCGTATCCAGAAATGGATGAACAGGGGGTGCGAAATGTATGGGGCGCCTAGTGTAGCATGACTGATTATGTTACGAAATCAATGATTTTGTAACAAAATCAGTCCAAGTTTTTGATTTTGTAACAAAATCAGTTCAAGTTTTTGATTTTGTAACGAAATCAAGTTTACAAAATGATTCCGTTACGAAATCAACTACTGCGAGTGATTTTGTTACGAAATCAACTACTGCGAGTGATTTCGTTACGAAATCAGCTACTGCGAGTGATTTCGTCACAAAATCAGCTACTGCAAGTGATTTCGTTGCAAAATCAGCTACTATGGGGCGCCAAGTGTAACATGAGGTACGTGCGTGTACCCGCGTGCACGTGCGTGTACCCGCGTGTACGTGCCTGTACCCGCGTGTACGTGCGTGTATCGGCGTGTACGTGCGTGTATCTGCGTGTACCCGCGTGTACGTGCGTTTATCTGCGTGTACCCGCGTGCACGTACGTGTACCCGCGTGTACGTGCGTGTACGTGCGTGTATCTGCGTGTACGTCCGTGTACTAGCGTGTACGTACACGCAGATACACGCACGTACAACCGCGGTAGCACCGAGATACACGCACGTACACGCAGGTACACGCACTGTGCACGCGCGGTACACGCACGTACACGCGGGTACACGCAGTACACGCAGATACACGCACGTACACGCGGGTACACGCACGTGCACGCACATGCACGCGGGTACACGCACGTACACGCGGTACACGAGATACACGCACGTATACGCAGATACACGTCGGTACACGGAAGCATACACGCACGTACACGCCGGTACACGCCACACGTACACGCGGACGGAGTGTACGCTCCGTCCGCTCCGTCTCCGCTCCGGACACGTCACGGAGATACACGCACGTACACGCAGATACACGCGGGTACACGGAGATACACGCACGTGCACGCGGGTACACGCACGTACACGCGGACGGAGTGTACGCTCCGTCCGCTCCGTCTCCGCTCCGGACACGTCACGGAGATACACGCAGGTACACGCACGTACACGCGGGTACACGCAGATACACGCAGGTACACGCAGGTACACGCAGATACACGCACGTACACGCGGGTACACGGAGATACACGCAGGTACACGCAGGTACACGCAGATACACGCGGGTACACACACGTACACGCGGGTACACGCACGTGCATACGGGTACACGCACGTACCTCCATGCTACACTTGGCGCCCCATAGTGGCTGATTTTGTAACGAAATCACTTGCAGTAGCTGATTTTGTAACGAAATCACTCGTAGTAGCTGATTTCGTAACGAAATCACTCGCAGTAGCTGATTTCGTAACGAAATCACTCGCAGTAGCTGATTTCGTAACGAAATCACTCGCAGTAGCTGATTTCGTAACGAAATCACTTTGTAAACTTGATTTCGTTACAAAATCAAAAACTTGGACTGATTTTGTTACAAAATCATTGATTTCGTAACATAATCAGTCATGCTACACTTGACGCCCCATAGAAATGTACCTGGGCTGCCGATGGCAACCCCGCGTCCAAGGGGGGGGCACTCGCTTCGGAACTGGGTAAGGGGGTGCCTTCGGGACCTTAAAAACCTGACCCTGTCGCAAACCGCTTTGCGCCCTAAAATACACCCTGTCCCAATATACTGCAATAAAAAGTATACCCAGTTGCAATATTTCACATGTCCTGTACTGTCAATATAGGCAGATATTGGTCCAATATCGGCCTGGTGATATTGGCCCAATATTGTTTCGCCAATATTGGGCCAATATTGGACCAATAACTGCTATATATTGAACCAATATCTGACTATATTGGTCCAATATTGGCCTGGTGATATTGGCCCAATATTGTTTTGCCAATATTGGTCCAATATTAGCTTGATGGGTGTGTATCTAGATAACCCTGTGCCAATAATAATGTTCGGGAAATATACCCTGTGCAAATAATGATGCTCGGAAAATATACCCTGTCCAGCGGCACGTACCCAGTACCTTTAACAATGGGAGTGCCCCCCGGGCCCCGCGTGCCAAGGGCACGCCAGCGCTAGGGTGTCTGCATGGGGAAATGCTCTCCCAGGAAATTTTGATATATTTAAGCCATTTCCCTGCAATCTGAGGCATATTGTGGGCCTGATGTTTGATGACATTATCTCAACCCTAGACTCAACCCTATAATTTAGGATTTAAAACACTTTTCATAGTTTTTTTCTGGGCTTGCAAACGGGGGGGGGGCGTACGCCGGCTCCGTCCTATGCTGGATATGCCACTGCTCCATCCTCTTGCACTACATCATGTTGCCGCTCTTCCGTCCCATATCCACCTCCTTCACAGTTTCTCCGACGTTTTCTGTCTGTATAATTCATTAGTCGTTGATCTCTTCCTTTGTCGTCATCCTCCCACGCACGGATGGCGCAATGATGACGGATCTATAATATAGCGTTCCGATGGTATCCCGGATATCCGCCTAAGAGAGCAACAAACAACTGAGATGATAGATGAGATGATCTGCTCCCACTTCCTGTTTTTACACTTTTCGTCACTCGAATCTAACTCCATTCTCATCTACTGCTGATATAATACTGCCTCTGATCCTAATTCTTACTCGACGTACTCCACTTTCTCTCGCCCTTGCTTCCTCGATCAGTCCCTTAATTTATCCACCTTCATCGGCCTTGTTGCGCTGCGTCAGTATAGTGCATTTAGCCTTGTACGGAGTTCTATTTACTAGCAGTAGCAGATGTTATGTGCCGGTTCTAAGATTGCGCGCGTTAGCGTTCGGCACGTCCTCTGTGTCCAGCGTGATACTTAGCCATGTTGTGTCTGTTACTTTCTGTCGCGTTCAGGATACCACGAACTATACTTTTACTGAACAGAACACATTTATTTAACAAGCCGC